TGACTGAAAAATGTTGGATTTTATACCTGGATTATTGAACATAGATTTTGTTGTTTTCAACCAGTTTGACAAGACTGTCAACAAGGAAGAGGGCCGGCAATGGAGGAGGGGCGTACCAAAGAGACCATCTAATCACAAGCAGAACTGGTTTGTTCCACTTTGGAGTAAGCTGTTGGGGGAAGAATCAGTTTTGTTGTGTGTTTCCTTGACTGATGAAGCCTTCCAGATTGAAGGCGAAATGTTTCAGCACCAAAAAAGAAACTGTCCAGATGACCTGACTGAAAAATGTTGGATTTTATACATGGATTATTGAGCATGGACTTTGTTGAAGTTATAATGTTTAGCCCTAGCTTTACTGCTGTCTCTGTTCCTGTAAACCTTGACTCTATTGAACCATATCTTAAGCAGCATGTTACAAATCTCAGGATGGTTTTAGACTGACTTTAAGTTTTATTTGTTTGTTTGTTCTTTTTTGTCTTTCAGCTGCTCCCTTCATCAGGGGTCACCACAGCGAACTATCTCACACAAAGACTTGACAGTTGTTTTTACGCCAGATGCACTTCCTGACACAAACACAGACCACCGAGCTACCACAGCCATCTGTGTGGAGCAGAGAGCTGCCATTTAGGGCACTCAGGGGTGCAGATGTTGGGGGTAAAGGGCCTTGCTTAAGGGCCCAATGTGGAGCAAATGAAGGTGGAGGCAGGTGTGGGTGCTTCACCTATTCCACCCACATTTTTTTTTATGTTGTCGGTACGGGGAGTTGAACTTGCGACTTTCCGATCACAGGCCCACCTAACCTCTGCGCCATCACTCCCCACTTTAAGTTTAATAAACAAATTATCTATCTATCTATCTATCTATCTATCTATCTATCTATCTATCTATCTATCTATCTATCTATCTATCTATCTATCTATCTATCTATCTATCTATCTATCTATCTATCATCTATCTATCTGTCTGTCTGTCTGTCTGTCTGTCTATCTGTCTATCTATCTGTCTGTCTGTCTGTCTGTCTGTCTGTCTGTCTGTCTGTCTGTCTGTCTATCTGTCTATCTATCTATCTGTCTGTCTGTCTGTCTGTCTGTCTGTCTGTCTGTCTATCTATCTATCTATCTATACGTATATATAAGATATGTCGCCAGGTCAACTTCCGGTACGACAACACATAACACATTATTATTATTATATGGGTGGGAAAAGTTAACACCCACACCTGCCTCCACCCTCATTTGCCCCAATCTGGACCCTTGAGCAAAGCTCTTAACCCCCACCATCCACTCCCCCAGGCGCCCTAGATAGCAGCTCTCTGCTCCACACCGAGGGCTGTGGAAGCTCAGTGGTCTGTGGTTGTGTCAGGAAGGAAGTCTGATGTAAAAACAATTGCCAAGTTTTCATGCAAGTTAGTTGGCTGTGGTAACCACTGAAGAAAGGAGCAGCTGAAAGAAGAAGAAATACATTATTTCTGTTCTGCAGAAATGTTTCTTCCAGTTAAGGCAGATAGCTAAGCTTAAGTCAGTGTTGAGCAGATCTGACCTTGAAAAAAATAGTCCATGCCTTCATTACAACCCAGCTAGAGCTGTAATGCTCTTTATGTTGGGATCAGTCAGGTCTTACTTTCACATCTCCAGCTCGTCCAAAATGCTGCAGCTCGGCTCTTAACAGGAACTCGTATACGTTTGATTATATTTCACCAGTTTTGTATTGTCTTCACTGGCTCCCTGTACGTGTCAGAACTGATTTTAAAATTCTCCTGTTGAACTTTAAATGCATAAATGGCCTTGCACCCTTATATCTCTCTGACTTACGTCAACCTTATGTTCCTTCTCGGGTGCTTAGATCATCTGATCAGCTACTTTTGGTTGAAGCTCAGAGGAGATCGGGCTTTTTCTGTCATTGGCCCTAAACTTTGGAACAATCTGCCCCTCAACATTAGACAGGCCACTTCACTTCCTGTTTTTAAATCTCTTTTAAAAACACACCTGTTTTCTCTAACTTTTAACAGAGTGTGATTTGATTTAGTATTTCAGTGTTTTGTGATTTATATGTGTTTTTTTTTTTTGTTGTTGTTGCTTTTAATTACATTTTTCTTTTTTTTCTTTTATTGCTGCCATTGACTTTATCGTTAAGCACTTTGGTAACAGCTGCTGTTTTTAAATGAGCTTAATAAATAAATTTGACTTGACTTGACTATAGTCAAACCAAAGTTTGTACAGAGAAGGGTTGAGGCTGGTTATAATGAGACCCAAGACTAGTTGCTGTAAGTGCTGCACTGGGACGGGTCAGCGGTCACTGAGTTAGTTTACAGTAGGTTTTCTTACACACACAGATGATGGTGGCAGCTTTAAACTGTCTGCTGAGGAGTTGCAGATGTCTGTAAAACATTGTTCAACACACGGCAGCTTTATGAGGATTGACTTTTTTCCGTGCCCTCCTTACATCAGCTGCACACAATCCCAGCACCTGCTCACCGTCAGGGGGAGGGGTGGTTTTCATCCCGTGTGTCTTATTTAAAACCTCAAACCTGCCATGACATTCACTGAATGTGTCTGTGAGAGAGGCATCAGTGACCACCACATGCCATGGTACTTTAGAGTCAGTTACAGCCCAAACCCTCTGCCTCATGCACCTTTTGTTCCTGGAATCACAGAATCTGTCCTTGATTTGTTTCTGTGTCAGCTTAGCTTTCTTGATGGCTCATGAGAGGTCAGTTCTTTCAGAGATGAGGGCTTCTTTGTCTAATATCTGACAGCTGCACCCCCGCGCTCTGATGTCATCTGCTTTATGTCGGAGAAAGTTTGGAGGACTATGCCGTCACACATGCACTTCTTTATACAGCTGATGACAGTCAGTGTAATCACTCCTTTCAAGATGGCTGACACCACTACATGTCCTTACAACACGAAATGGCTAAAAATCAATTTGACAGATATTAAGAAAAAAATATGTGTAGTTGTAGTTGAGACTAATTCACATTCTGATCGTTTACAGATTTCACAAGATCTTCATTTTTAAATTTAACTATTTGGAGTCAACTCTGTCTATTAGCAAACTATCTTATGAATAACTGGACAGATTTTAATGAAACTTTCAGGAAATAATCACTGTATGTACTTCAATAACATTTTAACTGCTGGAGCCTGTCCAGTTCAAGATGGCCACTACAGCTACAGTTTCTCACGACGCTATAGGGCGCTGTTTGTAAAGTTATACAGTCAAAATTAACAGCAATATTTTGGTTTATTTAGCTTTTCATAAGACTTTTTTTTTTCAGGCAGATGTTCACCATGTTATTCATACATTTATAAATGTCATAGTTCCAAACTAAATATTTAATGTACACCTAAATATTTAGTTTACAAACTAAATACATAACTTGCAAGTTAAATATTTAGTTAGCAAGCTAAATATTTAGTTCCACACTAAATATTTAGTATTCAAACTAAATGTTTATGTCCAAGCTAAATGTTTAATTTACAAACTAAATATGTAAAGTTAAATATAATAAACTAAATATTATGGTGTAAATTAAATATTTAATTTCCAAGCTAAATATTTATTTAAAAAACTAAACATTTAATTTCCAATCTATATATTTTTTGTCACGGGCAGCACAGTGGCACAACTGGTAGAGCTGCTGCCTCTCAGCGAGCAGGCTACCCTGGATCAAATCCTGGTCCGGGGTCCTTTCTGGGGGAAGTTTGCATGTTTTCTCTGTGCATGTGTGGGTTTTCTCCAGGTACTCCGGTTTCTTCCCACAGACCAAAAACATGCATGTTAGAAATTGTCCCTAGGTGTGAGTGAGAGAGTGAATGGTTGTTTGACTTGTTTGTCTCTATGCGGCCCTGTGATGAACTTGCAACCTGTCCAGGGTGTACCCCGCCCCTCGCACAGTGATTGATGGACATGGGCACCAGTGACCCCTGCGACCCAAAAAGCAAGAAGCGGGTAAAGATAATGGCTATGGATGGATGGATATTTATTGTCCAAGCTAAATAATTAATTTCCAAACTAAACATTTAATTTCTATGCTAAACATTTAATTCCTAAACTAAATATTTAATTTGCTAACTAAAAATTTAGCTCAGACCTAAATATTTATTTTCCAAACTAAACATTTAATTTCCTAAATAAATATTTAACTTGCTAACTAAAAATTTAGCTCGGACCTAAATAATTATTTTCCAAACTAAACATTTAATTTCCTAAATAAATATTTAATTTACTAAGTAAATATTTAGCTCGAACCTAAATATTTATATTGCACACTAAATATTTAGCTTGATAGCTAAATATTTAACTTGCAATTTAAATATTTAACTCAAACCTAAATATTTAGCTAATATGCAAGTTTGTTGCCAAAAAGCAGAAGAGGACTACCAAAATAAAAGCCTAACCTCTATATATACACCTCTTGCCAAACTGCCAATGTTCTCTGCTAACTCGATTGCCATGTCCAGAGGAAAAGAATGATGATAAAATATTGCACATAAGAGAAAACTGAAGCGATTCAGTCTGGCCAGCTGCAACTCTTCTTCTTCTTCTACTTTTGGTGTTTTTTGGCGGTTGGGCAAGAAGTGTATATATAGAGGTTCGTCTATTAATTTGATAGTCCACTTCTACTTTTCGGCAAGGAATTTGCATATTAGCTAAATATTTCAATTTGAGCTAAAAATAAAATAACTAGCAAGTTAAATATTTAGCTAGCAAGTTAAATATTTATGTCCGAGCTAAATATTTAGTTAGCAAAGTAAATATTTATTTTGGAAATTAAATGCTTAGTTTTGAAAGTAAATATACACCTAAATATTTAGTTTACTAACTAAATATTTAACTTGCAAGCAAAATATTTTGTTTGTATATTAATCATTTAGCTTGGACATAAACATTTAGTTGTAAACTAAATATTTATCTTGCTAACTAAATATTTAACTTGCAAATTATGTATTTAGTTTGTAAACAATATTTTTGGGTGTAAATTAAATATTTAGTCTGGAACTATGACATTTATAAATGTATGAATAACATGGTGAAAATATGACAAATCTTATGAAAGGCCAAATAAACTAAAATATTGCTGTTAATTTTTGACTATGTAACTTTATAAATGGCACCCCATATAAAGCTGCTTGTATATTGTGTGCAAATGTCTCTGAATGCAAAGAAAACATAAAGTTGTTTGATGGAGTCTTTACCAACCACATTAAAAATGTCTGTGTAAACTGTCTGAAGCTGTTAATTTGATGCCATTAAAGGTATTAAACAGTGTCTTCACATCACCTAACTGGAGCCTCCATTCCTCCATCTGACAGAAAGACGTTAAAGACAGGTTGTGATAAGAATAAAACCCAGAAAGTCTCATTTTCATACATATTTTTTATTTGTAAATGTAAATAACCCAAAGGAATGGACACTGGAGAGAGAATCTGATGGTCTGGCTGGTTTGTGTGGGTTAGCCTCAAGGCGTGCCTGACTACTGACTCTTTCTTCTGTTTTCATCACCTTGCACAACGCTCCCCCTGCCTCCTCAGCACATCTGGGCAGCTCTTTTCCCTCAAAGTGAAGTCCTAAAACTCCCACAGATCTTACAAAGTTTGTCTAGAACTACTTCAAAGAGTAAAATCTGGAGGGTCGTGGGAAACAAGAACTAAACACCGACAAACGATGATGCACAAACGCATTGTTTGAAATTTGCCATAATATAATAATATGTGGGTTACAGTATTTTTTCATAACCTAAAAAAAACTGTTTTTGGTGTAAATCCTCACACATGTTAAGTTATATACATTTCCACATTGTTGTCTTAAGAAGAAAGCATTACAGGAAGCTGTGCTCGACTTTAGTTTATGCAATGCTGCCATCATGTGGAGCCATTTGACACGTGCACTGATCTGTGTGTGTGTGTGTGTGTGTGTGTGTGTGTGTGTGTGTGTGTGTGTGATGCAGGACTGTTGGGTATGGTGGCCCACATGATGTTTACCACAGCCTTCCAGCTGACCGTCAGTCTGGGACCAGAGAACTGGAAACCTCAAACGTGGGACTACAGCTGGTCTTACATGTGAGTGAGACTTTACTTCTTCTCTTCTTTGTTCTTTCTCAGCTCTTCAGTAGAAGGGGTACTGTCAACTCTGAGCGTGACTATGTTTGACTAAAAACTGAACAAATACAAGACTTGTTGAGTGACAGATGGAGAGGTTCACCTCAGCTCTCAAGCTTCATCAGCATCATGTACCAACAAGAAAATAATCACATACAGATAACTCATTGGAAAAATGAACTCGGGTGTCTCCCAGTTCTCCATTTCTGCTGACGTGTATACACCTTGATTTGAGTCCACTTGCAGAAAATCAAACTGGACAAGATTTGGAAAGGCATCCAACTCTCTAAGGCCTCCCAGCTGCCATGAGAGCAAGAAAACAAAACATGAGGCCCAAAGAACTGCCTGCAGAGCTCAGAAACAGGACTGCTGCAAAGCACGGATTAGAAGAAGGCAACAAAAACATTTTACTGCACTGAAGTTCCCAAGAAACTGTGGCCTTCAGGATTCTCAAACTGAAGACATACGGCACAGAATGCACTCTTCCTGACAGCTGATGGCCCAGTCACATCCAGAGAGAAGGAGCTTAAAGCATCTGATAATGTATGTGAGCTTCAGAGCTCCAGTGTGGATGATAAACCCAGTTCTAGATGGACATCCAGAACTCCAGGCCTCCACTGATCTGAGCTTTATGGCGGAGTGGCTTGACTGAAGTCTCTCCTCAGAAAAAAACATTTGAAATCTGCTTGAAGGACTAAGACTACAAATGTGATAATTATATTGTACAAAGGTGATAATATATTGTGCAAACATGATAATTAAATTGTACAAATTTGATAATTATATTGTACAAACATGATAATTATATTGTACAAACATGATAATTATATTGTACAAAGGTAATAATTATATTGTACAAATTTAATA